TTTATATCCGGTCTATTGTTTTGATGTATAAATGCAAAATACATTAGGTACAAGTAAACCTCTTTATATGTAACAACTGAGTAAAATGCGTTTATATTAAATGGGCTAAGTATACTCGTTTAATATAAAAGAAATTGAATATATAAAGATTGAATTAACGTAACTATTGTTCTGTATTAGTAATTAAAAAATTATACATTTATTTTAAGTTTTGTTTTGCAAAACTAGTTTTAGCTTTGGGTTGGTTTTATGTTTGGCTTTGGGTTTAATTTTGAGAGGATTTGGGATTTTATTTGGGATTTGGTTTGGGTTTTGATTTTGGGTTTGATTTTAGTTTTGATTTGGGTTTGGATTTTAATTTGGGTTTTGATTTTGGGTTTGATTTGGGTTTTGATTTGGGTTTTGATTTTGAGTTTGATTTGGGTTTTGATTTTGGGTTTGATTTTGGGTTTGATTTGGGATTTGATTTGGGGTTTTGGTTGGTTTTGATTTGCTTTGGATTTTGGTTTCGTTTTGGTTCGGTTTTGCAAGTCTTAAGATACTCATCGATAGGTTGACCCCCACTCTCACGTCTCCCCTCTTCAATACACTTGATATTAGTGTTAATAAACAAATTCCATTCACTTCTGGATATATTGAGATGTGGTAAACATGTGCCACTTTGAACCAGAGCTGGTATTCTGTGATAACTGGTGTTTCTTCCGCCCGCATAGACCGGCACCTCATCCAGACTTAGAAACTCTTCGTCCGCTATATCCTTGATGGTGGCTTTATTACGAAAATTAGGGTTAACGAATTTGAGACCAAAATTGATTATAGTTAAAAATATTTCATCCTCGTTGTATATAATGCCCGATTGATTACTAAATTGTTTATTACCCATAACTGCCAAATCGTAATAAGACGCTGTTATGTTTGAAATAAAATGAATATATGAATATATCAATATATGTAAATTAATTGCATTACAATATATGTGATTGTGTTTAATCATGCTCACATAATATAACATTTTCAAGTTTCATATTTCTGAAAGTGTGATACAACAGGCCATTTTTATTTTTGCGAACAAAATCAGCGCATACGTGCAAAATAAATTGCCTGTACAATGTGTCCAGATTCTTGTTATTAGTCAAACGCATACAACGGCCTACTGTGCCGTAAACGGGTTGACCCGATTTCGAGAATCCGAATTGATTTATATATCCGGTGGCAAAAAACTCCGAGGGATAGTATTCGGGCACAAATGGCTTATTGTAGAATGAATTGGATTCCGGTAACAATGACATTGGGTTAAAATTAGATATGATTGAAAGTGGTGAAAATTCAGTTAAATTTAGATTTATTTTGGTGGTAGCAGCCAGTTGTTTCACTGGACCTAATATTACACCTGGGTTAAAAAACCCATCCACAATCACAATCATTTTCAGCAATACTATTAATAATAATAATTTTATCATTATTTAATTTAAGACAACAGATTATACAATACAAGTAAAATTCAAAAACAGGTTGTGATGTCTAATTAAGAATAAAATGAATTTTACAAATACAATAATATTTAACATTTAATAACAAAATGTTATTAAATTACTGCTAAATTACATATGAGAGAAATTCAAAGGTAGTAAAGCTGTGCACAATGAGGCTGGGGGTCAGATCGCCATCTATATCACACACCTATTACCGGTACACCGATTATGATCTGTTAGATAGCGTTATACTCAATACTTGTAATTCTCACACTCGCTATCAATTCAAAGTATGTTTTATTATTTATACTATTTATGTAAAAGTTATTTATCAATTTACTAATTAAGTTATTTATGAATCATCATATTAATTATGGTTAACTATCGTTCTGTTTTAAATATCGTAACATGTGTAAAACTTTATGTGACACAAAAATTACAATTATTAAAATTGCTATTAAATTATAATAATTTATTAATTCCATACAATTTACAGCGCAATCATACGATGATATACTTTCTTGTGATGATCACTTAGAAAGTGAATTATTTGTGCAAATCCACCAAAAGATTATACATATTCCTCAGGGTTTGATCAAAAATATCCCACATTTTAGATTTGGCCGAATAATGGAAAACCTGTGGGCGAGTATCACAATCACCGGTTGTGTTTTGGTGGGTCGGCCCACCTTTCTATGGGCTCCGGCACTGGTTTGACCACTGATACCATACTGGGTCTGGCGCTGGCCCTCTCGGCCGCCATCACAATAGCCATATCAATGACAGTAATGCGAAAGTTGCAGAAAACTCCGGCACCGGTAGTCATATTCTGGTTCACATTGGAAACTGTATGCCTGGGAGTGGTCTCCCTGTGGGTGCTCGACGAGTACAAGTGGCCCTCCACTGGCACCGTACGGCTTATCATGCGATGACCGGTACGTTGTGTCCATGAATTGCCATGGTTGTGTATTAACGTATACATAGCATTTATATGCTAACTAACTTCATATCTACACATACTTCTAGGCCTATGCGGTGCGTCCGACCAACTGTTCATAACGTTGGCACTTAAGCTGGAAAACGCGGGTCCCGTAGCCTTTGTCCGGGCGCTCAGTGTTGTCATCAGTTTTATATTCTCGATCACAATACTGAATGAGAAGATACTGGTGACCAGGTTTATTGGCGGTGCCCTCATCTTCGCCTCCATCATCGTTATGGGTGTCTATAAGTGGCGCACAGACTATAAGTGCGATGAAAAGGCAGCCGTGAGTGACGAGTGCTGTCCTCAAAATAACAACAAAACCTATTCAATAGGAGGTCTTAGTGTAGTTCAAGTGCTGTCATCCGTCCCGTCTTATCGTATACATCCGTCATATATGGCCCGTCCGGTAGATGTGTCCGCTCCGCACATTTTGAGTTACCTCGACGTCTGGCAGGTGAAGGCACCCGACGGCGTTAGAAATAACGTACTTTTACTATTTTTAAACAACAATTCAGAGTGTTTTCTATCGTTCGATATAATAATTATTTTGAGTGTATAACCAGCTGTTATATAAAGTAAATCCAAAGCATATGTTTTTAATAACAAAACATATTTAAGAAAATTTAATCATATAATTGTTGTAAAAATGTATGAATATATTACTGGTATAATTGGGTTTTATATTTTATACAAAATATTTGACAAAATAACAAATATAAAAACCTTCAAGGTAAGTTTTGTTGAGAGAGAGAGAGAGAGAGAGAGAGAGAG